TTATTGTTTATTGTTTTCTAAATATACTTTTGGAGTGTGCTATCATTTTGGAAGCCCCAACTTTTTTGACTATCTGATTATTAACAAAGATGTATCTCAATGCACAAATTCAAATATGCAAAATACGTATTTATTTTTTATTCTCATAAATTCCCTATTACAAATCCTACATGTTTGAATGCAGTTCTTAAACATTGATCTTTATCAAATTTATAAGTGCACAGTCCTGAAGATACTGTTCTGGATATATTCCCTATAAAGTATATTTCAGTAAGGAAACAGATTAAATTACCCATTAAACTGTGTATGCTTTACTTAATAAAGATAAAAAGTCAATATGAGCAAATTTGTTTGGTACCATAGGAACCTTTTAAAACTATTTAGATGTAAAATAAAAGTATAGTAATAAAATACTAAAGGGAAATATTATTTTAGTAAGTATAGTTAGAATGAACCTAAGAAATGAAGTCAAATTATTTTAATTAAAAGATAATACATTGATCCAAATCTACTACAGAGCACTGCTACTAATTTTTGCATATGTATTAGAATTCTGTGTAACCAAGAACTGAAATCTAAAAACTCTGATTCTGCTATGTTTGATTATTGAATTGGGATGAGATAAAACTGATTATGTAACATAATATGTAGTAAAAAGAAAATTTAAAGCTTAAGAGGACTTGGCTGGGACTGCACAGAAATTCTATAAATGGGTAGTATCAAAACTGTCACATAACTACATTTTTTAAACTTTATGGTGTCCATGTTTTGTGATACATTGTTTCACCAAACACTTCGTGATATTATTGTGATTTATTTTACTTTTGCATTTGCATACAGTGTTCACGTTGTTATTGTTTTTAAACAGTCAAATATTTTAGGAAGCTTTTTGAAGTAAAAATCAAGTTATAGTATTTTATGTTTACCTGTGTTCACCATTTCCAGTGCTCTTTTTCTGTGTGTGTAGACCCATTTCCAGGATTGTTTTTCTTCTACCTGAATATTTATTACCTTATGTACTGCTAGGCTATTGACTCAACTTTTGCATGTCTGAAAAGATCTCTCCTTTACTGCCTTCATTTTATGAAAAAAAATTTTTGCTGGTTGTAGTTTAGAATAACAGGGTTTTTTGTTAGTTTCAGTATGCTAAAAAGGTGGCTCTAATATCTGTTACTTGCTTTGTTCCTGCTGTTAGTCTTACTTTTTTCCTCTGTACATAGTGTGTTCTCTTGAAGCTTTTAAAGATTTTTTTCTTTTGCTATTTATTTTAACCAATTTCATTATGATGTGCTGTGCTATAGATGTCTGCATTTTTTGTTCCTATGTTTTGTTGAACTTAGGATGTATGGATTTGTAGTGTTTTATCATTAGAAAATTTCAGCTATTATTTTTACTGATATTTCTGTTCTCTACAATCTTTCCTCTCCCTATGGAACTACTGCTCAACATATATTAGTCACACAGGTCATTCATGCTTCATGCAGTTTTTCAGGGTTTTTTTGTTTTGTTTTGTTTTGTTTTTAGTATTTTAGTTTTCTCTTTCATTTTGAATAGTTTCTATTTCTTTGGCTTCAAGTTTAATAACCTTTTCTTTAGCAGTGTCTAATGAGCTATTAATCTCATCTAGGGCCTTTTCTTTAATTTCTGTTTCTGTTATTTTTTTTCTCCTTACAATGAATTATATTTCTTACTTTTCACATGTGGTAACTTTTTACCACATGAGTGAAGGATATACTTATGTTTCTTTAAAATTGTTTTCAGCTGTGTTCAAGGATCCAATTATATTACATGGAAATAGATTGATACTCTTAAGCATTTTTCAACTTTGATAAGTAGCACCAGCTTAGCTGTTACTAAGTCTAAGGCACATTTATCCATACCACTCCCATAACCCCTGCTGAACACACTACTTTA